GAGAGAGAGACAAAAAAAAAAACAAAGCCTACTATTATTATTCTTTTTCAATTATTATTGTTTTTTTGCTGGCTTGGTTTTTGTTGTTGTTGTTGGCTTTTTGCAGCCTTTCTATTTTGTATTTTTGACCCCTTCTTGCGAGTAACTCTTCTCAGAGTTCCGAGATTTTGTTTTTTATTTTTTTTCGTTTGCAGAAGCAGAACCAGTTTTTTGTTGTGTTTTTTTTTCTTCTTCTTTTTTTTTTTTTTTTTAATAGAGAGGGTTGGTGGTTTGGGTTTGTTTTTTTTTTTAATTGTAATTTCTCCCGGTTTTGGACTCGGAGGGAGTGAAACCTCGTCACTTTTTGTAGTGGTGGTGGTGTGCCTTGTTGTGTGTGTTTCCTTCCTCCCCTCTGTTCTTTTTCTCTCTCCCCTCCTCTCGCTCCCTCTCTCCCCCCTCTCGCACAACAGCCCCCGGTAAATGAGAGGAGACAGGTCCTCTCTGCCTTTTTTTTTTTTCCCCTCTCCTCCCCGGACCGCGAAGGCGAGATTAAAAGTGGCATTTTAGTGCCTTTTTCCTGCAATTTTCTCTACACTTTTTTTTTTTTTTTAAATCTTATTTTTTATCTCCAGTAGCGATCTCTGGGGCTGAGGTTTCCGTAGAAAGTTTGGGGGCTGTTACGGTGTGTATTTTTGCGGAGGGGGAGGGGAGCGGGCTCCTTCTGTGTGTGCTGCTCCTCTGGGTGCCTATTGGAGAATAATAGTGTAAGTGACAACCTAGAAGTAGACTTTCTGCTCTTCACACTGGATAGAAAAGCTGCCTTTTTTTTTTCTCTGCCTTTTTTTTTTTTTTCTTAATACCCCCCTTTCTCACTTGCTCCTGTACGCATTGGTTTTATTTTTGAAAGGATAGCTAGACTTAAGTGACCCTCCACCTCAATTTAAACCTGCTACTTTAATTTTTTTATTATTATTATGAATTCCTCGTTTTGAGCGTTACACTTGTCTGATCTATTTGATCTTCAGCTCCTTCTTCCGTTGCTAAACCTCGAAAACTGGCTCTCTCAAAAGATATTTAATCTGTATTTTTTGTTTTTGTCCATTGCCATTTTTGCTCATGGCTACTCTGTTTCTCGCTATCTATTTTTGCCCCTCCCCGCCTAGAGGAAAATAGCAACAAGAAAAATAAGAGGAAAATAAGAGAATATTAGGGGAAGTAGTCCTCAGGTCTGCTGCCCCCTCCCTCCCCCCCTCCAAAAGGGGGGGACCTAGAAAACATCAGTCTTGAACTTCTTCCTCTTCAAGAGCTCGGGCTGCAAAGGAAACCTCCTTTGTTTTTGTTATTTATATGCTGTCAAGTTTTGAAGTGGTGAGTTTCGGGTCGGTTTTGCTAATTTCACTCCGAAAACTGCAGTGTTTCTGTTTCTAGATAAGTACTTTGCTTCTTTGTCTCTTTAAAAGGTCACAGGGAAAGCTTGGCCTGGATTGGGAGAGCCATATGGAACGGATAAGTGCGGAGCCTCTCTCAAATGTGATTATGGGTTTTTATGGGGGAGGGAGGGAAGAGGAGGGGAAAGGCATGGGGAGGGGGCTGATTCAGGAGGAGAGAAAGAAATAATATCATACCGGCGGCGTTACATCGCGACAAAAGGAGATACCGCACCGACTCTCATTCAGAAATTGCGCGGTGTGCCCGTACGTGTGCGCTGTCTCTGGGAAACTGTGCCTTGAAATTGTGCTCTTCTCTCAATGCCTGTGATGAAAACTTGTAGTTGTGAAAGATGCCTAAATGCGAAAGCCGGGGAAACTCTTGGCCTGGAACCGGCGGAGATGATAGTTCTTCCCTGCAACCCTCTCCCTGGGCAGGCCACGCTGGTTCTTGCTCATCACTATTCCAAACTGAGGTTTCCGTGAACTTTAGCCTTGGGCATGGAGTTTAAATGAGTAAATTAGGTGTTTTATGTGCATGTAATTTTGCTTTGTAACATAAAGCTTTTTACAAGATGACTAAGCGGTGAAAGGATGCCGATGGGTGGGTATTCTCAGGCCAAGCGAAAATGACCCATTTGGTGTTTTGGTTGTAGTCAGCGTATTAACTAAACTGCGATCTATCACTTTTATTCACTGTACATGATGTCGTGCGATTCTGACTCATGATGACTAGATACTTTCTGTAGCAAAGAACCTGGGTGCCTTAGAGTACTTCTGAAGTTGCCAAAAGTGACAAGGATTTTCTTGTTCGAGGCTTTTTTTTTTTTGCTTTCTTTTACTCTTCCCCCCCCTTTTTTTTTTTGTTAATCCTCTTATTCTTGAGAGAGACCAGTCTTAGAAAAGCAGCCCTTTAGTATCTTAGCATCGTCAGAAACATTGGAAGATGTTAACGGTTTCAGTCTGTAATTTTTTGCTTAGGCTGCAGTTGACACAGTAAAAAAAAAAAAAAAAAATCTTTTTGAAAAGTGGCTAAAATAGGCACATTTACTGTTAATGAGACACACGACCTAAAACAGATGGGATCAAGATGAATAGTAAACCTTAGCCTGTCACCTTGCAGCATAAGGAAAAATAATGATTTTCTGAACTTCAGCTATTCAGTGGCATTCTTGAGGTTGCTTGTAAACGTTCCGATTAATATATTACCTCTCTCCTCACCGTATTGGGAAAAGCAGCATGGTGTTCAAACCAGAAAAAAATACTTTGCAGAATCATCATTGGCATATATACCAACAACATAGAAGTGCATAAAAAAAAAAAAGCCCAAGTTGTTTAGGCTTTAATAGCTTTGCTATGAAATGTGCAGAAAATGTATTGAATTACTAGGCAACTGAAAGAAAGTAGCAATTATCAGATTCACACCAGTCCTTCTAAATATGACTTTCCCAGTATTAGTATTTGTACTTGCTAATGTAAATACTAGTTCATAAATTAATGTCTAGTCACCTGTCCTTAGTGATTATATTATATACATAATATAATTGTCAGTGTAGTCACACCTTTCTCAGTCAGAGAAAGGTAGGGTAACATACCTAGCAATCACAGCAGGATTGATGAATGGAATTGTAACCAGAAAGATGTGTCTGTTCTCCGCAGCTGATTTTTTTTTTTTTAAGTAGTTGGCAAAATTGATTCTGATGAGTGACAAAAATCCTCAAAACTTACTCCGTTATGTTCTAGGCTTGGGAGATTTTTAGTGGTTTAACTGGAATTGTTATTCACGGACGGAGGTTTCAAAAGTTTATAGAAAGGGAAATATAGGCATGCTAACATACACCTTTTCTTAATTTGCTATTGAAAGTACTTCTGTTTTTTGGTTTCAAATAGCTGTGCCAGCACGTAACTTAGCGTCACCCGGGGTTGGAGTTTTTTTATACTTAAGGGCTTCAAAAGTACTGTAGAAATTGTGGTTTTTTTCCCCAGCATTATGTTTTGTGAGATGCTACATTCTCTTCTCGTTTATTTTTCTTAATTCAATAAACTACTCCATTTAACACTTAAAGCTTAGTATCTGAAAAATTTCACGTGCATATTTTGAACTTTGTGAAAGTTGATAAACTCTTTGTGTAATATTGGTTAGGAAACTCAAAAGCAACCACCTTCCGCCACTGCTTTCCGAAGTCAAATGTTAAATTCTCTTCTAGTTTTTCTTTTTAAAGAGGGGAAGAATTGTAAATGGACAATATTCTACATTTCTTAATAAATCTGTTGCTCCCTCAACTAGAGTTTTAACAATCTCCCTATTGTTGTGCATCCATTTTTTTAATCAAGTAGATTGAGAAATGTTTCACTAGAATCTTTTTTTGTCTCTCTCTCTCAACACAATAAAACCACCCAGGATTAATAACAAACCTTTCTGTGAGATTTGTAACAATAGCTGTGTTGGAGCACATACCTTGACAATCATCATCATTTATATGAGTCTTAGTCTTTCTCAGATTTAGTAGAAGATCTCTGAAGAATTCTTTTTAAAGGCGTTCTCTAGTTGGCTTTTAAAAAATAATACCACCAGATTATGATGCGGTCTCTCTGTAAACTGGGGTATGAGGTCATTTTTGGAGAATAAGTTTGTTTCTTTTAAAAGAGGCATCTTCTTTCCAGTTAAAATAGTTATTTATTCTTCTTCATGAGCTTGTGATACATATCTCTCTCTGTACATGTGCAGGCTGTGTACGTATACATATGCGCACACGTGTACAACATATATATATTTTTTTTTTTTTGAATCATGGCAGGTGATCTTTAGAGGCGGGACTGAGTATGGATCATTTGAACGAGGCAACTCAGGGGAAAGAACATTCAGAAATGTCTAACAATGTAAGCGATCCGAAGGGTCCACCAGCCAAAATTGCGCGCTTGGAACAGAATGGGAGCCCATTAGGAAGAGGAAGACTTGGAAGTACAGGAACTAAAATGCAAGGAGTGCCTTTAAAACACTCTGGACACCTGATGAAAACTAATATTAGAAAAGGTAACACTTTTGATAATTCTGTATTAGAGAAATTTGATTTATAGTATTTTGGGGGGAAGCATACTTTTGCAGACTCTACTTCATTTATATTTCAGGATTAAATCTCCATTCTGAAATACTATATATTCCCAACTCTGTTATAAATCACATTTGGGAAATGTAAGCTTCATGCTTGGGTGGAGCATCTTGCTTTACAGGGTGGAGTCTGATTTTTGTTAAGGTAAAGGCTAGTTGCCCTGATTAAAGCAAATTCCTACATTGAAATAGAAGTAATAGAATGCATTAATTCTTTGAGTAAGTGTTGGGCTAAGGAATGAAAAAATATGTAGGAGTAAATACCGAACCCCCAAAACAAATTCTCGCCTTTCCTCTTAATGATGGTCCAAGCTTGGAAGGGCAGCAGAATTTCCCTAACAGTTGCAAGTTGGTTTAAAGGAGAGAGTGTAAATCTTTAGGTATCACATTGGAAAAGTCATTTATGATGTCAATCTTCGCAGTTTATTTTCTTAAGTACAATTCATTATTGAACAATGAACAACTTGGGTGTCATATTTTTCAGTGGCTGGTTTGCTGTAATTAGACATTTACACAAGGAAAAGGCACATTTAGAATCATTGATGTTTGTATATGGATGGCTTTTGTTTGCGTTGAAAATACTTTTAATGGACAATAATTTATAAATTTTGCTTATCAAAATGTGTAAGTCTTTTTGACCATGTCCTGCAGGCTTGCTAATTTAAATCAAAATATGCTGCATGTAATTTGGCATTTGTTTTAGAACAGCCTCTACTTTTCTCAGTATAATCAGTGTATGTTTATAATCCAGATTTTTCTTACGTTTGCTAAGCAAAGAGCAGAATGCAACCGAGGCTATTAAATGCGCAAAGTTAGAAGGCAGAGGAATTTCATTGTGTCTGATGCATAACATTTATCGTACAATCATTTATTTTTTCCTCGGTTTAGCGAAAACAAAGAATATATTGATCCTGAAATGAACAGACACAGCAGTCCGTATTGTTAGATCTTTATCTATTAAAAATGGAAAAACAGCACTTCAGCAAATTCTTTGGCCTCTGCTCATGATTACCCTATTTATTGATTGTTTGCCAAGAATGTATGCATCTTAAGAAAGCCAGGGTAAGAGCATTAAAAATATAATTTATTACGGCTTTTCAAGCAGAGTGCATTAATATTGTACAGTGAAGCAGCAGGGCTATATAAAAAGGACTTTCTGACGCCTGCAAACATATAAGTTCCATAAATTCCTAAATAGGCGATTTCAGCTGTCTCTGGTATTATGTGATATTTGCACAGCAAACTTTAATGCCAGGACAGTTTTAGACAAGGATCCTACAGACTTCACTGCTCCGTATGGCAGACGTGCTGTTTACACAGACTCGTAAACCTTCAGCAAAAGCTCTAACACTGCCTTCAGGTTTAAATCATGCTGTATTTTTAGCAGCGAGCACTGACCAGCGCTCTCCCCTTTAATACTAGAAGGTTACGGAGTTGCTGCACTTGGAGGTCTTGCCAAGTACTAGCAGGAGTGATCAGCCAGCTGAGATTGCGCTCTCCTGTCTAACATTTTTCACATTAACAGAAGGACACTAGTGACAGTTTGCTAAAAGATTTAGTGGCTTGATTTGTAGTCAGATGATACCTGTGTCGCACCACCAGGATCCATCTCTGATGATCTACGCTGTACATCAAAATTTGGCCAGGAGGTTCTCCCGTGTTGTTTGAAGTACCGCGTTTCCCAGAACGCTGCCACTTGCGAGACCGTGTACCTGGCAAAAAGCGTGCTGGTACGCAGCGAGGTGCCCGTGCACTGCAGTTTTGTGTCTGGTCATAGCTTCGTTTGTAGGGACTGATAGAGGAAAAAACTGAACATTCTTTGGCTGGTTTTGAGTGTATCTGCACTGTTAGTTAAAGTGAAGCTTTGTTTATGTTTTATCTTCAGGTATTAACAGTGAAACTACTTAAGAATTTTGAGCCCTTACTCTGAGTCAGACGGTAGTAGGTCAAACATCAATTGTGAGAGCCTGGAAGGCAAAAAAAAACCTCACCACCTTTTTGTGGATGAAGCATGTATGTGCTTTAGAAAACTCTCCACAGCTTAATTAAAACCAATGAAGAAATCACCAATTTGCATGTACTGCTCTTGCTTTGGTCTTCTCTCCCTTCCTGACCAGTCTCACTTAGAGCTTAAAAAAAAAAACAACCAAGAGACAAAAAGAAAAAAAAACAACCTTCTTCCTGCACTACATAAATATTGGCAAGCTTTTAGTCTTGTCTTTCATGCTGAGCCTATTGGGCAAACCGGAGTGAGTTTGTGAGCTTTTCCAAGCGAGCCTGAAGGGGTTTGTTTGCCAGAGATTGACTCTCTGGTGAACAGATGTAGTTTAAATATACGTGCTTAAGAGGTATCCTTTTTCTCGTGATTTCTTGCTATACGTTAGAGCACAAATCAACAGACGCGGTCTCAAAGCGTTTCTCTGTTGTGAAGAGCAAATCTTCTTTTTCAGCTGCGGCACGTCTGGTGCACCTTCGCAGGTTGGGAGGTTTCCGTAAGTCTAGAGGGCAGCGGTTATAGAGGCATTAACATTGCAGGACTAATTGGAGTTCCTGGGTGCCCTGTTAAAATAACCCTTGTCATCATTTATGCTAAAGATGATCCCCCTCTGGCAGGCTGCCATAAGACAGTTCTGTACATCTGCTTTTTAACCCTTTTGCTTTCTGTCATTAAGAGATCCTAACCTGTGCTGCTGGAGACAGGACCGAGGCCTAAAACCGCGGGTCCGAGGTCATCGTGTCATCCGCATCCGTCTGGGAGGCCGGGAGGGGTTTTCACAAAGTCTAGAGATCCGATTGCTGGGAGAGACTTTGTCCCTAAAACAGCTTGGGTCATCTGTTCCTTCCTTGATCTGTTGTCAAAAGGGAGGAAGAATAAAAAAAAAAAAAAAAAAAAAAAAAAAAAATTAAAAAAGGAAAAAGGAAAGGGGAAAAAAGGTTGTTTTCTTAAT